GCCTGCTCCAGTAGCACATTTTCCTGTTGCCTGTATGTTTCAGTTCAGTGGTGGCTGAGCTGCTGTGCAGTAAAACTCACTGGTGAATGAGCTACTTTAAAAGCAACAGAACTTTGTCCTCTTGGTGGCTCAGTTTCTCTGGTGTCTCCAAAATGTTTGTTTATAAGTGGGAAATGACTAACTGGGCAGAAATGAAGGCAGTTGAGGTTCCAGCTTTGGAAAGTTGCCCATGGTATCAGGCAGATGGAGCTGGGGAAGCCCCATGAGAGCAGGGGCTGAAGGCAGCAGAGTAAATGCAGCTCTTGAGTTACTGCAGGTGACTCAAGGAGTTCAGCTTCTGGCATCTGTTTCAGCCTCCTGGAGCCCTGAGAGAAAACCTGAACGTCACATCCCGCTGCTCTGACCTTGCCTCAACTCTCCCCCCACCACCATCCTCACACTTCTGCTAAAAAAATCTGCCCTCAAACACACTTGAGTCTCTCAGAGCACAAACCAAGCATCAGAGAACCAGTCCCTTCTTCCCCAGACAAGAAAACGCTGGGAGTGGCAGTGCCAAGGAGGCTCCCCTTGCCTTTACATCTCCTCGTGTTGTCAACTCTGAAGCCTAATGATTGTGCTAACACAGCAGCTACCTTTGGCTTGCTTCCAGGGACCATTGCAGCAGGCTGCCAACTGCAGTGGGCTTGTGCCACCATCCCATACTCCAGCCCCTCAGAGGGAGCATCCAGCTTACTGCAAATGTTTGCCATGACACAGCCACTGCTGCATGCCACAGACTGAAAGGTCACCTCTGACACAGGACAAACTACAACCCTCACAACACAACATTGTCTCACTCACCAAGAACAGCCCAGACACTGGGAACAACAGATCAACACCCTCTGGAAGACCACGGATGACAGCAGTAACTTAAGCATAGCTGCTTTTATTCTATACAAGCAAGCAGAGAACTTGAACTTTCATCAGGCACTTGTCACCAAGACAACCAAGAAAGGTGCTTGAACCCTGGCCAATATGTTTTTCTTTCTGCTTCACAGAATACATGAATTGCAAGAGCAGGCTGTCTCCAGGAGCATTTGTGCCTGAGACAGCAGCCAGGTTTCCAGGGTAAACTCAAATGAACTTTTATTTTCTTGTGGGCTTAACCAAAACACAAGTCTAAGGGATCTCAAATGCTGACATCATTTAAAAACCCCAACCCCACAGCACTACGTCTCCCAAGCACAGACCTTACTCCAAGGCTTACCTCCCTTTATCACACTGGGATATTATCCCAGACCCACTTTCTTCAGTGGTTTAAGCTGAAACACCTGGCTGTAAACCAGGACACAGGCACTTCCTATTCTGCCATCTTCAGTTTGGGGGCAGGAGAGCAAGGCTAGAGGCTGACAGCAACAAAACAGAGATGTGAAGAGGTGAGTCTGAGTAATTCTGTCTGTCTGTCTGCTACAAAGCTTCTCAGCATGACTGTAATTCCCACTGGCACTGTTGGGTGCTTCAGCAGGTGATGCTGTACCCAGCTCTGAGTGAGCTGCTGAACAGCAGCACTCCCAAGAGCCACAGAACAGCCCCTCTTGGTGACAGACCGTGTTGGCAAGTGTGGGGTACACAGATGGGATGGGTGACCAGGATGGGCTCTGTCCACTGCTCTGCAAAAAAGTCTGAGGGAGCCCAAGACCTTTGTCCAAGTTTGCTTCACATCTTTCTGCAGTAAAAAAACCTGCATGTGCTCCAAACTCTCTGTTCACCTCAACAGTGGCTGCTCCACTGCGGGCAGCCCTGCAATGGTGAGCCCAGTCAGCCTGTCCTGATCCCAGTATCCAAGCAGGGCTATAGAAGAGGTCCAGGGAGCAGAGCCAAAAGGGAGGAGACCACCGGGGCCCCTGCAGGGGGTGGCAGGGAGCAAGCTGACCTTTGTGCAGTGCTTAGCAGCTGAGTTCAGTTGTTTCTCAGCTTCCCTATTTACTCATTTTTGTCATATATCCCATCTCTCAATTACTTTACACCATCTTTTTAGACCTTTATTTATTTCTGCAGTGGAGGCATCATAAAACTCTTTCAACACTTTGGAAACATCAGTCCTCTCGTTTCCCTAAACTGCATGTGGAGGAGTAGAGGAATATCCTGGCAAAGGAAGCTTGAACCCTAATGCCCCAGCCACTTAATAAGCCATGAGTAAACATACTAATGGACAAATCTGATCAGGCATTTACAACAATTTCTATGCAAAAGCAGTGCTTCCAAATGGAGAGTGCATGAAATTATGCTAGTGCTAAATCCATCGGGTAAAAGGCATTGCTACCCTGATTTTAAGCACCTTTATATTCACAAAATTATCTATCACCTCTACATAGGGGATATCTACTGACTTAGAAAAAGTAAATTGAAAGACCCTACTATGAACTCACTATGGTTTAACCTCCTGATTGTACTTGGATTTGAAAATTTAATTAGAAAGTAATTACAGAGAAACCGGAAATATTGCAGAGGCCTCATCCAGGCCCGGGAGGTTTTCTTGGCAGCAGAACAGCTGCATGCAGCACTGGAAGATTTCTGACCACTTTTTTACAAAGCAAAAGACAGACTCTTTCTGAACACCACTCTGCAGCAGAAAGGCTTTTGAGTGATAATCCAATCTTTTCTCAGAGGAACGGGTTTCCCGTCGGGTTGCTGGCGGCAGAGCTGCGGAGGCTGCAGTCGCCGGTGGAGTTAACTGCTGCACCGCAGCCGCTTCCCTCTGAAGGAAGCTCACGACAGAGCTGCCCTCTTTCTTCATCCCTGTTTGTTATTTCAACAGACCCAGCAGCAGCCAAGAGCAGAAAGAATGAACAAATGGGAATAAAAATAAGTCTTTTAAGACACACAAAGCATTAGCCAGTTCTTTTTTTAATCTTTCTGCTTGGCCATATATCTATTGTGTTTTAGAGCTGAAATAGCAGAGGGGTTTCTTACAGCAAAGCCAGATCAAATGCAACTTTTGGGTGAGGATTATACTGTATGTACCAGCCTCTAAACAAAAGTGAGGGGAGTGCTTTGCTTTATCTTAGACAGGAGCTTGTCCTGCAATGAGCTACAAGGTCAGAACAGTTCCATGCTGAACAGCAAGGTCTGAACAGCCACACATGTCACCAAAATTAAATATACACTAATCACAGGTGAATTCAAACCATTTAGGCCCAATGGTTGGATAGGTAATTTCTGAGTCACAGAGCCCTACTCACATGCCAGCTACAAATGCCTTGGGGGAAAGAAAAAAAGGATGGTTAGGGTAATGTTCCCCATGGCAACCTAAGCATCTACACAGTGAAGTGCTGCAAAAAGAGGATATCTCTGCTTTGCTCCAAGGAGGCTCCATTCCTCCAAACCTCATAGAGAAGAGGATCAACACAGCCCTGACAAGTACAGCCTGCTCCAGAAACAGGAGCTTGTGAACATGCCGCTAACACTGTGTACCTACACATCCCTCAGCTTTATGCAAAGCCATTTCGGCATTCTCAGGAGCATTGCTTGGAATTAGGGTGCTGCTGCATCAGCAGTCCTGGGCCCTACAGCCTGAACCACAGGTTTCATTCAGGCCAATTATAGCACATTATAAACAGAGGATCCTGCTTGTTTTGAAAGCGGCACATAGCGAGTGAGAGGTTCTGCTTCCACAAATAGCCTGGGAGCTGGTGAGGACAGGCTCACATCCACCAGCCTGAAAAGAGCTGGGGTTAAAATGACACCAACAAGGAACAAGGAGGTGTCCCCAGCCTGGCCAGGAACTGGAATGAATAAGTCTGAGTACCAATCCCCAATGGAGCCAGGCTCTGCTTTAGCAAAACCTTTATCATACTTATCTACAGGAAAACTGAGCTTTTGTCCTGAACCTTCCTTGAACATTTTAGGTAGCAAAATTTAATAATCACAGGTATACTTTTATAGACAAACAGATGATTTTGTAAGGGTTTTAAGGCATGCTCATGATATACAATACAAAAGGCAGGCAATTCATTGGTTCTTAGGAAGCCAGGGTAACAAATTCACATGGAATTCAATCAGGCATTTGCTCAGAGCAATTTCCACTGGGGAAGCCATCCTATTCTCTAATTATAAAACACTGCATCATTATTCTAACTTTTGAATATTATTGATTTTTTTTTTTTAAGTGGGGAGAGAAATGCCAAGTGTGATGTCAGCAGGCAGCAGTACCTGGCACAACTGCTCTATCCCAAAGCACAGCACTGAATGCCAACTGAAGCATGGCTGGATATTGCACAATAAGAGACAAGCTATGCTGAGCATATTTGGGGCAATGGACACAAGGGTATGACCCCTTGTGCCCTTGGGGGTTGCTCTGCCAAGGCCAGGTTGCTATATCACTATGATAAGGGTAATCCTGTTAGGCAAACACATCAAACAAATAGTCATTCCTGATTGCAGGCCTTGTCTAGGCAGATCTAAGCCTGGGTTAAAAACATGCTGAGTGTGCAATCCTCTGGCACAGCACACCAGGGGCTGAGAGAGGGATACGTGGGGGCTTCTGTGCCTCAGGACCCCCTGCAGGCACTCACTGAGGCTCAGGCTAATTCCTGGAAGTATCTAAAAATTGCAACAGAATAAGTTCCCTCTCTTTCCCCTTCACTTCTTGTGTAGAAGAGGACAGATGACTCTTATGTCAGCCTGTTTTGCTTCTATATTTATGTCCTGCCTCAGGCTCACAATGTTCAGCTCAGATGCAATCCAGTCTGGTCATATTAATACATCTGGGAAAATATTTTTAACAACCAACATCAAGCTGAAGGCCAAAATCGTCCACAAGCACCAGGAGCTCTCTGACCCCTCTTGACTGCTTGCTTACAAAACAGAAAGGCTCCCCAAAAGGTGCTCTGTAGACTTTTAAGGGCCAAGCACGTTTTTCAGCTTCCCTCTGTAATATGCTGGATGAAATTTAATCTCTGATTTAGCTCTGGGAATTTCCCTAAATTTCCAAAAGGATGAATGTTGCTCTTTTATTACAGGTGCCAAAATTAAAGCTTAATGAGATGTAGGCTGTGAACCCAGCCAAGGTGAAGAGGACACTGATGACAGCCTGTGAGCATCCCTGAGGGCCTGCAAAACACCTGCAGCAGAAGGAGTTCATCACCTTTCTACCCAGTTCACTCTGCCAGCCCACTTTATCAAGGAATCAGAATAAAAAATAAGTTTCAAAGCCTTAAAAATCAGGTAATCTCACTGGTGGGCAACATCAAAAAATCTGTGACACCAGCTGAGACATTTATTCAGCCTCTCACCAGTTGATGTCTGACAGCAGTCACCCTTATGTACTTCCTATAGAGCCACGGGAGAGATTTCCTTTCCAAAACAAAATGTATTAGAGCTTCACTTGGGCTCTTAAGAATCAAAATGGTTTAGGTTGGAAGGGACCACTGGAAGTCAGCTAGTCCAACTCTGCTCAAGCAGAGTCCCTGGGAACACATTAATCTGGATTGTGTCCAGGCAGCTTTTTAATATCTTCAGGGGAGGAGACTCCTCAAGGTCTCTGGGCAACCTACTCCACCAAGAACCATTTCGGATGCAGATTTTTGGAATTTGCTCAGCAACATGCAGGAAACAAGAATAACAAGAGAAGATTTGCTCACTTTGTTGTTTCCAAAGCAGATTTTTCTTTCATGCCATGGATCAGGATGGAGCTGACCCTTATAACACAGCAGAGAAAGCAGAGCAGCCAAGGTTATGGGTAGCTCTGGCTCAGTGTGAAATGGTGTTTCACACAAAGTCAAGCAAGCAGAGACCAACTGTAATACAAATGAAGACTGAGGAGGAAGAAGATGTGGATGCAAGACAGTGCAATGGTGAGTCATGAGAACAGGGCATAGTTCAAGGCCATGACTCCTCCCCTGGAGAGGGCAATGTTGTCTGATGACTCCAGCAAGGGAGTCAGGAGCATTGCCCCAACCCAGATCATTGCTGACTCTCTAATCAGCTGTCTTCTTTATCAAATGAAAATATTTTTGCACTTTCCAGGAGAACTTCTGTATCTTTTCCAAACTGATTTGATATTCTGAAATGAAAGGACAGCTACTTGTGAAAATGATCCCCTAAAAAATGGAGATGGGCAAAGAGACACACAAAAGGCAGGTACATGGCCCAGGTGTCACAGACCCAGGAGGATATAGGAGGGAGATGCCCTCATCTCTACATCTGATGTGCAACAGCCACGCATGGTGAACAGCCCTCACTCACCACCATGCAGGAAGATGTGCACTCCTCCTTATCAGGCAGCCCCAGGCAGCTTCCCTTGCTGCCTTCCCATCCCTGGTCCTGCAGGCAGCCAAGGGCCCTGAGAGAACAGAAACAAAGGACACGCTCATCGGGGAACCAGCAGCAGAAGAAATGAAACTGAAAGGTTTCTGAGAAAATGTTTGTGTGAGGCTTCCACGAGGTGTCAGCAACAGCTATTATTCATCAGAGCTGAACAGAGTGCCTGGGGCTGCCATCCACCTCCCCACATGGCATGTCCTCACCAAAGGAGAACAAATCCTGTCTAGTGACTGCCAGCAGCTCTGCCACCGTGTCTCTGCACAGGATGACCAGTCTCTGTCCTGTGTCTAACACAGCAGAACAGAGGGTTCCCCACGCCAAGCCCAGCCCCCCAAGGACCAGAACAATATACTTGCATATTATCCCTGACCTAAAGAACTCACCAGTGAAATGGGATGGTCGAAGCAGCGTTACTGCACCCCGTGTGCAGGGGGGATGCTGGTGGCAGAGAGATTAAACTGAAGATCAGTGATGTACCTGTGGTGAGAGGGGGACATACACTGCGTCTATTCCAGCCCAGCGCCCCTACCACAAAAGCCCTGACTCTCCTCATTCCTCACTTCACTCTGAAGATGTGCAGTTTTAGCTAAACAGGACATTAGGCATTTCTCTCTGACTTGTTGATGAAGATCCCAGAGGCTAAAAGTGAAGTGGCAGCTGTGCTGCTCCAGCCCACCAGGGGTGTAGAGCTGTTGTTCAAACTTTGCTGACCTTTGGTTCTGAGCCTGCCTTTTTCCAGAGGAGACTGGTAAGTGTTCAGAGTTAAACCCATGCATGAATTCTTTGCAAGGACTGGAGTAAACCCTGTATCCTTTATCTCTGTTCAAGAATGAGGGATGTACTCTTTGCCCATCTTCAATCTCATGCTCAAACCCAGCACTATACTATGTTCAGTGTACTCCCTGATAGTGCCTATTTTTATTTTGCTTTTAATTACACACACAGTCAGGTCCATTATGTCAAAATTATCCTGCCCTCAATTTAATGAAAGCCTTAGGAAGCAAATGACGTCTGCCACAAGAAATGGCAGAGCTTTTCCCTTCGCCCAATTACGTAGTTGGGGTTTCCGTAGTATTAAGAAGGTTTTAGTTGGTCACTGGCTGGAGAAACCAAAGGATCAAGATCCCAGAGGAGGGTGAAGATGAAAATAGCTCTGAGAGAATACGTCACGTTACTTGGATGTGGCTGCACAAATAGAGTAATCTCTGTCATGTGCCAAGGAACCTGTGATAAGCCCTCTCATAGTCAGATTGGTAATAAGATCAGCTACTTAATTCAAAGTGATTAAAACCAGGCTGGACTGCAAACAAACAAATCATGGGTCTGTGCAAAAAAATATACACATCAGAAAAGTAAAACTTTTCTGGGCTGTCTTGTTACATCACTAGAGCTGAGCACCGCACCCTATAAACAATTTTGGGGTCAAATGCAATCCAGTGCAGCCCACAGACAGGCTGCCTTTCCTACAGGCACGCTCCCACTTCAAATGTATGTGACAAACACAATTTGCAAAGGGTTACCCACCAGCTGCGAGGCTGAAAGGACTTGGCATGCTCTGGCCTATTTTTAAACCACTGCTGGGGCCAAAGCACACTATGGTTGTAACCATTCCCACCACCTCTGTAGGAGAGCTTGGCCTGTGAATAATGGTTCCACTCCTACACCAAAGACATTCATTTCCCATGAAAAAAGCCAGTTTGGCTTTGCAACTGTACTAATGCCTTGCCTTTGGGCCCTGACTTGGCTTGCCCAGGCATATGTGCAGGATGAGTAGAAGTGGCTGGGCAACCTGACATCACCACACTGGACATTCCAAATCGAAGGCAATGTCCTAGCACAGGTAGAAGAGGATTTGGGATTCTCATCAGGGTATTCCCCAGAGCAGGAGGCACACAGAGATGTGGTGGGTACCACTGCCATCAGCAATGGGCAGCAAGGCACGGGCAGACAGGAAGGAAGAGCTGTTGAAGCAGCTATTTTTAAACCATTTCTTTGGGTCCTGCACTTTGGTACAAATTATCCCGTGGCTGCAGTGATAGGACGTGACTGACAGGTCAGTGCCCTGGTGGTGATAGCAGGGAATGGTGAGGCGGCTGCCTTTAATGGGTTTTCACCTGGAATCGGAAACAAGCAGTGAAAGAGGATTTTCTGTGCCGTGGCTGACATCCAAGATGCCAGGAGCCGTGGTGGATCCGCAGGGATCCTCGGATGACGAATTGTGCTGACAAACGCTGGACGTAATTCTCTCCGGCAAAGCAGATCAGTGGATGTTATCCTTCTTCTATTCTCTTCCCTCAGATGTGGTCAGCAAGAGTGTGACGGTCAGTGTGACAGTATCCTGCCCAGCTCCCCCACCTGCCTGCACCCCCTCACACAGATCCCCAGGGTTTGCTGTGAGCATTGCTTGGCAGGGAAGTTACAAAGCAAAGGAAGCACAGTTTAGGCATTGTTTCCCTGGCTGAATGGTGGTTCAGAAGAGGCACAACAAAGGGGATGGCTGTTCCTCGCCAGCTTCTTACTCATCGTGGTCATCAGGACAGTTGGTAGCGTGATGTGGTCTCTCTCTTCCTGCTTCCCCGAGTAGCTTCTCAGAGAGGGCTGCAGGGAAGCAGAGCATTTCAGCCCCTGTCTGGTGATCCCCCTCAGTGTGCACAAGCGTCTCTATTCCAGCAGCAAACAGCAGCAGTGGGACAACTCCAAGGACAGAGAAATCAGAGCTGTGGTCTGTGAACCCATCAGCAACTGGCATTGCCCACCTGCAGATGCCAGAGAGTCTGATCTTCCTGATTGAGAGGACAATGGCTGCAAGAGGGGGAGACACTAGGGCCAAACACACAGAGGAAGACGGAAATGGTCTCAGGGGGTCAAGGATGGAGCAGATCCCAGTATTTGTTATCAGTAAGGAGGCCTTATGAGAGAGCAGATCCCAGTAATGCCAGCACTTGCTTTCCCAGTGTGTGACTGTACACATGCATTTTAGGGCCAAGGGACTGCAGGTGCCCAAGGGGAGCCCCTGGTGCAGGGCTGTGGGCAGCGCTGGGCTCACCCCACGCCATGACCATCTCCTCGCTCTTCTGTAGCCTAAACCTGACAGGTGCCTGTCAGAGGGAATGGCTGCAGGCAAATGTCACTCTCTGGAGACATCCCAGAGACACAAGTTTAGCAACAAGCACATGTGCACACACGTGCGCTGACCGAAGCGCAGTGCCAAGCTGCAGCCCGAGCCACCCACAGGGGCCAAGACCTGGCACAGGCCAGGCTGGGCCCTGCCAGGGCGGGCACAGGGGTGTGACAGCGCCTGCCCCGGCACACGTGTACCCGGGCACTGCACGGAGGCCGGGTGTCCCACAGCCGCTGGGCACAGGCCCGCTGTGGCCCAGACACCCTGTGCCCTTGACCCATGTGTCCAGGCTCTGCTGTGCCCCGGACCGCCCAGACTCACGGCCCCATGCCCCCGGGATTCTGCGCCCTCTGCTCTCTGCATCCCTTAGCCCCAGGGCCCCACACCCCGGGACACCATGTACCTGGACTCCATACCTTTGGGACGTCAGACCCCCACACTGCTGGGACCCCGTATCCCTGGGACTTCATACCCCGAGAACCCCGATCCCTACACCCCCGGACCCCACACCCCCATACTTCAGGAACCCATGTCCCTGTGACCTCCTGCTCCTGCAAGCCCCGATCCCTACGCCCCCGGGGCCCCGATGGCCCCGGCCCCCGCCCCGCGGCATTCCCGCCCCGCCCCCGCGGGACTCCGAGCCCTCAGCCAAGTTTCTTGGAACTTTGCCTTCCGTGACGCACGCGCCGGCGCCGGGCCCCATCCTCCCGGCGCAGCCAATGGGCGGCCGGGGCGCCGGGGCGGCGGCCAATCGGCGTTGGCCGGACAGTTCC